AAGATCAGGCTAAGGATGTCCTGCGAATGCAGTCCACTGGCTGCCTCAAGGCCTTATTATTCCTTTCCCAGGGCGACTTCTTGAACAAAGCTGGTTGGAAGAGCCTTAGGACAGCTGTCAAATAAAAAAGTTAATTGCTTTGTGCTTTGTGTGAGCCAAAAAGTTACATGATTCCAGAAGACAGGATGACCTACAAAGGCAACCAGCCATTAGCCTCCCTAGACTGGGCAGATGGGTTGTAAAACGGAGCCTTTTCTGTTGTTTAAAGATGCTTTAACATAGGAATGCAGCACACTCTATAAAAGTAGTAAAATTGCCCAAGCAAAATAGACTTAAATCTCTTTCGGATACAAAACTTTTAAAAAACGGAATGCCCCGTGTGGGGTAAAGATGCTTGTTTTAAGTGATATGTCTTTTATATCATAGGTTTGTTCAGTTTGTCTACTGCAGGGGTAGGCAACCTTGGCTCTTTTATGACTCGTGAACTTCAACTCCCAGAATTCCTGAGCCAGCCATGCTGAGGGGAAAGGGAGGTTTCCAAGCTGAGCCATGCTGGCTCAGGAATTCTGGGAGTTGAAGTCCACGAGTCATTGTGCTCCTGCCTGTAAATGTTCTTCCTAGAATATCCCGGGAACTTTTGCAGATCAAAATTGTATCTAGTGACTGAAGAGCATAGAGAATTATGATCATCCAGATTTAATACATATCATTATCTGCAAAGACGAGAAGATTCCTTTTGCCAAGGAAGGTACACACACATTAAAAGTCAGTGTATCAAAGTAGCAAATTAATTTATTTAGAAAGTTCTAGATGCATATTTCCCAGTAAAACAACATGATGAAAGAGAATTGAAAAGTACCAACTCTTTCAAATTTGAATAATAAATATCATTAGGGTGTTCTTCTGGAGTCATAAATACTGATTAAATCATTCTCAGATGGAAACAGTTGTCCAATGAATTGAGAGCTATCAAGGAATGCAAGGCTTGTATTCAGAAATGTGATTTTCACACAAAACACACAGGAAGCAAAGATTCTTAAGTCCGCCTGAGAATTCACTGTTTATAACTGGCCATTTTTATGAGGTTATTCCCTTTAGTAGTAAAAGATGAATGGATCTAAGGGGCTGCCATAAAGAAGAGGGGGTCAACCTATTTTCCAAAGTACCTGAAAGTGGGACAAGAAGCAGAGGATGGAAACTAATCAAGGAGAGAAGAAACCTAGAACTAGGGAAAAATTTCCGGACAGAACAATGGAATGACTTGCTCCAGAGGCTGTGGGTGCCCCATCACTGGAGGTTTTTAAGAAGAGATCGGGCCATTGCCTGCAATGGTATAGGGTTTCCTGCCTGTTAGACTAGAAGACCTCCGAGGTCCCTTCCAACTCAGTGGTTCTGAGATCATGTCTTGCCCGTTCCTTCTGAACCTTGGGGTGTATTCCATCGGGTCCTGGTGAACTCATCCAGGGTGGACAGGTGTACTTTTACCATTTTCTTGCCTATCTTAACTTGTAGTCCTAATCTGTCCTTTAGGGGTACTGCTTTTGATAGGTTGGATAAGGCATGCAAAAAACCGAGTTAAGCAGTTTGGCTTTCTCCCTGTTGCTTGTCACCTTCTCCCATTAATGGACCAATTGTTTCCTTGACTTTGTTTCTTCTATTTTATAGGTTGAAAGAAGTTTTTGTTATTTTTGACTCTTGTCGCAAGTCTTACTTCATTCTGAGCCTTAGCTTTCCTGACTTCGTCTTTGCAGAAAGTATAACCCTGTTCAGAGTAATCTGGTCCCTCTTGTGGGTAGGTGGAATTCCTGTAGGAACACTATGTGGACTATTTTCAATACTTTGTACATAAAGCTGCTTGGTTTAAGCTGAGTTGGACTCCAGTTATGCAGGTCCAATGAAGTTGGCAAAGTCTTGTGCTGTTATTTGGAAAAAATTTGAACCTGTTAAGAGACAGGCAAGGGAGTCTGCTGAGGTGGGAGAAGCAGGAAATCAGAGGCTTCCTCGCTCAGTAGCTCCTCAGCTGGCCTCAAGGAATCATCTACAGCAGGGGTCCCCAATCCTGCTGCCATGGACTGGGGCCCACTGTAACAGGGCCTGTTAGGAACCAGGCCGCGCAAGGGGCCGGCAAGCAAGCGAAGCTTCATCTGCAGATCTAGGTTGCGCCCCAAATATCCCCCCCACCAACCTGCAGATCAGGTTGAGGACCACCGATCTACAGTGACCTTTTGGCATTACTATGTTGCAACATCCCAAGCCAGTTTTTTCTCCTGATTTTGAGAAACTTAATAAAAAGTCCTTTGACACAGGTGGGTGTTTGCCAAGCTGGCAGTTTACGAGGCTCTTCTGCACTCAACAGAGGCAGACAGAAGTTCTAGAAGCAAAATGAAATACTCTTGTGAGGAAGCGGCATTTGCCACTTGGGATTACAAATGCAAGATGCAAATTGAAAAAAATAAATTGACTACTGAATAAGTTTCGCGAGGACAAACCTGAAAGCCAGCAGGCTGCTCCTGCCCTTCCCGCCTCTGCTTGGCTATTCTGCTGCAATGTTACAGGTAACGGGAATCCAAGTTGCCCTGGGCTACAAGCCTGGATAGCACGAGGCTCCTCACCCTCACACACGAATGTGAAAAGCAGCACTAACTGGGCATGAAGCCAAGAACAGGAAGCGGCCTACTGACCCTGCCCTGGGCCTGCATGCTTCCCCGTGGTCTCCTGCTTCTCATGCTGGAGTGCTTCTGAGCGTGAGACCACGGGGAAGGATGTGCCTCTTCAAAGGTGATGCTTTGAATGTCTGGTCTCTCTGGCTGGTCAAGGGAAGTAGAAGCCAGCAAGTGAATTCTAGTCCTCTGTGTTCTTTCTCTGTCTGCCATCAAGATTCTTCCATCATGACTGATTTAAATGACTCTCTCACGTGCATGAACATACCTACACATCCTGATAGAGTTTCCCTCCAATACTCTAATTACTTACACAATTGTCAAATATTGATTTGTAACAATCCTTTCTTTAAATAAAGTTTGAGGTAATGAGACTCCTTAACTCCAAGAGGAACTGAAATGGACCAGAAAGCCTGACGTTTATAAATTACTGGGCAGAGACAGAAATCCAAGCAAAATAAAAAAACATGCCAGCTGACAGACGGTTGGTTGCAGCTACAAACTGGCACACGTGTGACAATAATCCCACTGAACACAGCAAGAGTTGCTTTCTTAGAAGGAGGCTGGTAAGTGATCCAGGTTTGGGGAAGAGGATTAGCTGTCTATTTGCCTGTCTCCCAGAGAAAATGTCGTGGCGATATTGAATGAAAGGTCCGGCATTCTCATGTTACTGAACGTTCTTGGTAATATTGCTATTATTGCTCTGGGGATCAAGGGAGCCGTTTCACCCTCCTTGCCACTTAAAAGTCTTTCCTTCTCCCATTAAGCAAATTATACGCTCTCAGTCCTTAGCAGAGAGTTTTCAGGAAGAGGTTTTCTCCTACTGCAATTCTGGGGGGTTCTGTTTTGTTTTAGTTGGCTCCATTATACAGCAGGTAAAAATCTCATCCTAAATGCATGAAAAAACAAGGCAGCTACACAGCCCTTTTACTTCACCAGAGGTACACAGCATGTCCTATTTGTTTTAAAGTTTTATTTGGCCAAAGCACATACACAATTATTATCAGGGGCTCAACTGAGGCCTTGTAGTTCTTCTGCCCCACTGGAAGGGGTTCAACCCAAATTTCTAAGGGCTTTATTCCAAACAGCTCCGTGTTTCTTAATATAGTATTAAAAAATCAGAAGGAGTGTCGTTTTCATAAAAACATATGCCTTTTAATAAAATGTATAAATGTAAACCTTCTGCCAGATTCCTTCTGACTTTTCTTTTGCCCCAGTAGGCGTTATAGGCCTCTTCTGCTACAAAGTCTTTAACATAATAGAGAGAAGGTTGATCAAAGCTGAAAAGCTGCAAGGATTTACATTCCTGTCTATGGGTAGAAGTAACCTTTCTTTTTGGACAGCCTGGGCTCTCTCCTCTTTGTAAACCATGATGCATCAATATGGGCTCTGCAAAAATTGTGGTCCTGCCGTTTTTCTAGGAAAGTTTTTTTTAATGCTCAGCCGTGACCGAGCAAGTAACATGCCCATGATCTGAAAGACCAGTGGGTCAATGTGGAATGTTTCTCATAGTAGCCAAGTCTTCTTTAGGCCAGCAGGGGACGTGCCACACATAGCTGTCCCTAAACTCCGAAGAAGAATGCTCATCTGAAGTAGCTCCCGTGGCCTCCCTAAAGCCGTTTTTGAAGGCGGATACAATACCCAACCCCTGACACTCCCAAGAGCTGAGACTGTGCCTTGTGAAGAAGTCCCTGGCAATCTAGGAAGAACTCCTAAACAATGTTCTTTGGGGAACGTTTAAAATAAGCAAGCTGTAAAGCTTAGCTCAGTAGGGCAGGCCCGTTCTTTCACCTTCTTCCTCCAATCAGCATTCAACAGATTTCCCCAAAATGACATGTGTTTGCAAGGTGGCTGAAACTGGGACTTACTTCAAATCATACAGAAGAGGCGAACAGAAATACAGCACCAGCAAATTAACAACTTATGCCATTCCTGTATGTTAATTAATACCACACACACAAACACACACATATATACACCAAGAGAGTGTCTGTTATAGGAGAACTCCACATTTTTACCATTCTATGGAAGATTGCTGCAGATTAAAGCAACCTTCCTTTAGCAAAACATCCCACTGACATAACAAGGAAGAACAGCAGAATTTTTTTTTTTTTTTAAAAAATGACAAATCGTTTGATAGTTGGCTGACAAAAAACATATACCCCCTGGATTAAAATTTCCTTTAAATAGCACATTTCCTATCCCTGAACCAAGAGCATCCTCCTCCAAAATCACAGTTGTCTGGAAATAACACAATTATTTGGAATTCTCTTATGCAATAGTAGTAATACCCACCACAAAAATGCAAAGGCATTGGCCCTTCAGCAAGGGCGACCTTACCTGGAATCTGGGTATTTGGTCAAAGTTGCTAGGCTGCTGGTGTACATGTGACCTCCTACATCAATATGCACCGGGGCATTGGATTTGGTGAGCTGGGCAGGGAGAGGAATTCCTTGAGCAGCAATGGGAGAAACTGGGGACCGTGTCAGAGAGAGCCGGGACATCGCTCTGCCTTCCTCCTAGAAACCTCAGACAGAAAAGAACAATTTCCTCTTAAATGCAGTTGTGCGCTACCTTGATTCCAGCGTGATCACAGATCTAATAAGATCTCTTTTGCATCTGCCTGATCACATATTCAGCTAACAAATTATTGCCACCTCCATAATTAAGTGTATTTGCATCATAGTCTTCAAAGGACCAGCGGCAAAGAAAAAGATGCTTATTAGCAATAAGAAATCAAGGGGAAAAAAATCTTTTTCAAGGTGTCAGCCTCAAGGGGCATAAAACAAACTGCAAAATTCTAATTAAAGGTCGCAGGCTTATGTGTTAGATGTGAAATATCCCCTGACAAACGAATAACCAATTTGTGAATTGGGATTCAGGGGTTTTTGCAAGTTTGTCTCAGTAACAAGACACCTCTAAATTAGTGACTTCCTCAGTACCTCAGGCGTTTCATTTAGACATGTAGTAAAATTCACATCAAACTTGGAACTATTTTTGTTGCTTTTTAAACAACTAACCACACAAGAAAATAGATACGGTAGCTATTTGTTATATTCGGGACAATGTATCCAGAAGAGAGAATGGAAGGGCAGGCAAAACTAAAGGTTTAATCAATTATCACTGCCCTGCAATGTCTTTTCTGTGTATAATTTCCAATTATCCAGTGCCCTCACTTTAAAACACACACGTGCACCAATCCTCTTACATTCAATATTGAAAGGTGCTGTCCCCCCCCCCCATGTGAAAGTTACAGATACAGGTGGATTTTTAAATGAAATGCATGAATTACCATTTTACTCAAATGCCATGGAATTCTGATCTATGCAAAAATATAGGGACTTTGTCAATGTTCACTTTTTAATATTTGACTTAGGGAGCTCTATCCGTTATTTTCATTGGCATTGATGTAGGTAGCCAGCAGAAAATCTTGCAAAAAACAGAGCAGACCTAGTACTTCTAAACTCTCCTTCATGTATTAAAGGAAAATATGCCAAAAATTAAACAATTATGAAATGTTTAATTGTATGCAATGTTTTGAGTACAATTTAATGTTGTCATATTTTATGACTCTGTTCAGCCAAGAGTTGGCAAGTATCTCGTATGTGGAATTTCACAGAACGTTTTGTTTTCTTAAAAGATTAAGCTGGTCTCCTTTCTCAGAACCTTCATATTTCCTTTGAAATAGCATCCCAGGGGTTCACTTGGGCAACATCATTCCCACCATATAATAGGCAACAACTGGAAGCACTTCCCCTAATATGGACAGTACCATTTTTGGACTTTGGGAGCAAATGTAGCAACATGGTGGGCAAAAAGTCCTTCCTGTGGAGTCTGCCTTGGCATCACCTCAGACTAGATCTCTACCATTTGCTCTTAGTACGAAAACCAGCCCTGGGCAGAATCCAAACCAACCAAAGCCTCAGCTAGTTAACAGGAAACTCTTGATAACACAGACTTCATGAGTTTTCTAAGGGAGTGGATCTTCCTTTTCTTCAAGGAATATTTCATGTGGCAACTCAAACCACTTGGTTTTATAAATGCACATGCTATATCTGTTACACCTACCCAAATCTCACTGTCTGCTGGTGTCAAATTCTAATTGCAAATGCACCCCCTCTGCAAGGACTGACACCTAGTCTTTTCCCAACAGCCACATCTTTGTGTGTGCATGCTCTTTCCTGAGGCTTAAATCCAAAATGCCACAGGCCCAACCAACCTCATGTAGAATGACTCAATTCCAAAGCCCAAGGAAAGATATTTTTTGCTTAAAAAGTCCAGTCAGTTGAAGCTCACCATTTCTTTAATAAAAGAAACCTTTCCCCCTTCGTTGTGTTTTTGGAATGAAATTTCAGAACAAGGAGGCCTCTTGAAAGAAGAGTTTTATCTTGAAATATATATGTCTGCTGACCCATCACCCTACCCAGCCCACGAGCAGGTGGTACGTTAACAGTGCAGGAGAACCCTCCCTGACACCCATTTGGAAGGCAGATCTTGGCTATGCTTCCTTGGAAACAAGTTTTCATATTATCACAGGTTATATGCTAAATAGCAAACCTTACAGAAGATTGTTTACTTGAAAGTAAATCCATACTGTCCAGTAGGGCTTACTTTGGAGCAATTTTGCACTGAGCTGCAGTATTATTTTTTCTTTCAAGAAATAGCCAGAAAAATATATTATTCCCTAGCAGGACTTCCTAAAATCCATCTTGTGAATTCTTTCTGTCTCTCACAGCAGGAGAAAAGAAAAGACAAGCAAAGGGGAGTCTATAAAACTTAACGAATATGATTCTAAAACTAGGACCCAAATTTAAAAAGAAAGATGGATGTTGACCCTTCTGTTATCACAGAAGATGACATTACGCTTTAAATGATAGACATGCAATTTATTATATCATGTCCTTAAAATGGCATACTACTCAAGCATTACCTATTATTATGCATTCAATTAATTCTTAATATAACAACTCAAGAAATCCAGTTAGGAGAACATTAAGAATTGTGAGGGGTACACACACCAAGTTTCAAATAATCTTTGTAAACAATCTGACCTTGGAGAAGAAATTGTGTCCACCTGCTGAAGGCACAGTGTATTGTTTCTGCCCACATCAATCAGGCCCAAAATAATATGCAAACTCTGGACGCCACCTTTCCATTAAGGTGGGAAGATTCTCAAATGGATCCTGCCCCAAACCAGGAGGCTTGATATGTGCATCTGGCATGGCTCACTGCAATCTTTCACTCCTTCCCTCCCTGCTTCCCTATGCTAAGTGCCAAAGCACTGCTTGTAAAATCTATTTGCCCGTGAAAAGTGAAATAAGCGCCATCCCATGCTCATTTACACACAAAATGATTTTGTGTCCCATTGAGCTCACAGTTGTTCAGCTCTCTAGGGGTGATTAAACTAGCTAGGCTGCTACAGCTTGAGATGAGTTTACCAGAATTGTTTCTCCACATAGCTGCTTCTCTGGGACACTTTCATTTTATCCATAAAAGGTAACAGAAGGCAGTTGTGCAAGCTCCATTCACCTCTGTGCCCATGGCAATCGCCCTGAGGGGAAAGAAGTGGGGAGGAAAGGCCGCAGAAATTTCCAGGTTATTGTCTGCCTGACTCTTTGCCTGGCCCACTCCAGCAAGCCCACTGTTCTTCAATAGATAGAATTTCAGACTGAATTCCTACTTTTAGAAAAAGACTTCAAGAGTGCAAAGGAAGTTGGGTTGGGTGAAGTTTTCTCCCATATGCTCACACAGGAGCCATTGTGGGGAGGGCAGAACTGGAATCCCCCCCCCCTGAAAGGTAAACCAGAGAAAGAGCCGCAAAGGGGGCAGAAAGAGAAGCAGCTGCAAACGGGGCAGGGGACCAAACCAATAACTGAAACTGCAGCACGGAGCCCTGCCAAAGGAGGAACAAAGTTGAAACCGAGGCATTCCCGTCTTGCAGGCTACAGATGGGAAGCCAGGCTAATTAAGGATATAAAAAGGCTTCTGTTTCCACAGTTTATGGTCGCCTGGATGAACAACAACAATTGAATCCAGCGCTGTTAATTTACTCGTGCAATTTAATTCCTTCGCGCCCATTTAAGACGCGAAATGAATTCTGCGCAAACCCCCGCGCTGCAGACCCCTCGCCTCGCGACCCCAACCGGCCACCCGCCTCGGCCGCCTGTCCTTCTGCCCCCGGACCCCCGACCAGGCCTCCCGGGGCACCGCGGCGGCCGGAATCCGGAGGGAGAAAGGCGGCTTCTGCTCGCCGCCCGGAGGCCTCCGGTATCCGATGGAGGCAGAGGGCCAAGGGGGGGGGTCCCGGTGGGCTTCTGCCTCGACCGGCGCCGCTCTCCCCACACAGCTCTTCCCCTCAGAAAGTTTCTCGGCGCGCCGAACTTCCCGCCATCCTGCCCGGGTCAGCCTCGTCAGGACGGGAGCGAAGCACCGGCCGCCCAGCCCGGAGCCACCGCGGCGCCCCGAAGGCTCCCCCCCGCAGGAAAAGCCCAACATGGCGCCTTGACGAGCTGCCGGCACGGACGGAGCGGGGAGGGCGGAGGAGCGCGCCCCATCGCCCGCCCGGCGGCCCCGCTCCTGCCCGGCGGCCGCCTCCTCCCATTGTCATCCCTGCCGGCCCTGCGCGCGGGTCTCGCCAGCCTCCCGCCGGCCCGCCCCCGCCCGTACCAGGCACGGCTGCCCGCCCGCCTGGCCTGTCGGGACTGGGGGCCGGCCGGAGCCAGGTCCCCCCGGGCGGCGGCGGCGGCGGGGCTGCGGCCGAGCCGGGCATCGCGCTCCTCGCACGGCGGTGGCGGCTTTTGCCCCTTCCGAGAAACCGGCTCCGGGGGACGCGGGGGCGCGCGCTCCCCCCCCCCAGCGGAGCCGCGGCGCGCCCGAGTCGGGAGGCGGCGGTGCTCCGCGGCCCCCTCCCCGGCGGGCAGTTCCCCCGGGGTCCCGATCCCGCCGGGCGCGCAAGGCGCACGTCCCCCGACACGCCGGCTAGGATCGGCGCGCGCGCGCGCAGACACGCCGGAAGAGCCGCGGCCGGCTGGGTGGCTCGCCTCACCTTGTGCGCCGCAGAACGGGCGAGCCGGCGATGCGCGCCCCGCCTCCCCGCCCTGGCTGCGGGCTGTCCGCGGCGCTGCTCCGCTCGGCCGGCGGCCCGGAGAGGCAAGATCCGGGCGCTGGCCTACCTTTTGTCCCCCGCCGCCGCCGCCGCCGCCCGCTGGCTGCGAGTGCTCTGCCAGCCGGCTGCCCCCTGCGCGCCTCCTTTCTGTTTGTTTTGTCTCTGGGTCTGCGGAGGGAGGGCGGGGAGGCAGGGAGGGAGGGAGGGAAAGCCGAACGGATCGCAGGCGAGGCGGCCGCCTCCTCGCTCGCCAAGCGCCGCGGGGAGGGAGAGCGCCAGGCGGGCGGGCAGCAGCAGCCGCCGCGGCAGAGGCCGACACTCGCTCCTGGCTGCGCCGCCTCCGAGCGCCCCCCGCCTCGGGAAACCGGAGCATCCCCGCCCCCCCCCCGGGGTGGCCGGGCTGCGGCCCCCGGAGGAGGAGCGAGGCGCCCGCCGCTCTCCCCCCGCGGCACTTACTTTCCGTGCCCGCTAACGGTCCGGGCGCCTCCGCTGCTCGATGGCGGGCTGAGCGGCGTCAGGCTACGGCGGCCACGTCCCTCCGGCGACGGGGGGGCGGGAAGGCGGCTGGGCTGATTCGAGCCATCGCCCTCTGGCCCGCCGCGCCGGGTCCTCGCGCAGCTGCAGCCGGCATCGGCGTCCGGCTCCCGTGCAAGGAAGGCGGGCGCGGCCGGCTCCTCTCCCGGCGAGGCGCGCAGGGCGGCGCGGCAGGGGCACTTGTTGATGAAGCGGAGCAAGTTTGGCGCGGCGCTCCGACGCGCGCTCGGCCGGCTCCCCCTCGCCCCGCGCGCCTGGCCCGCCTCTCCGCCCGCCCCCCCCGTGCGCCGCGGGCCCTGGCTCGGCTCGGCTCGGCTGACGTGCGCGGCCGGGCCCCGCGATTGGAGGGAAGCGCCGGCCGCCGCGGGGCAGAGGCGCCGTTTCCGAGACGGGTTCGGCGAATGCGGCTGCCGGGGGCCCTGCCCGGCCCGCCTCGGCTTGCCCGGCCTGTCCCCGCGCCCCCGGCTCTGCCGCAGCGCGGCTGGCGAGCGCCGCCTCGGGGGTCGTCCGGCCGCCTCTCCCAGGCTGGGGCGCCGGCCCGTCGGCCCTGCCTCGCCCCGAGCGCTGGCTGAGACTGCGGGGCTCGCTCTCCCCGCCCCGTCTCCTGCCCCGCCAGCTGCTCCTCCGTGCCCGGCAGGCTGCTCGGCGAGGCCCCGTCCTCGCCCTCCTTCTGCGGGCCCCGAGCGGCTCGGGAGGAGTCCGCCTTTCGCCCCTTGGAACTCTTGGCCGCGCGGGGGCATCTTAGACCCAGACCGCTTTCTCCTTGGAGGAGCCTTAGTCGTATCCTAAGCTCTTCCTTTCCGCTTCAGTATGTGAAGATGCACCCTGAAAATAAACATTGCGCCGAAATGAACGCTGTGTTGCCACTATTGCAACGTGCGTGGGTTAGGGAAGGATGTAACGCGAGCACCGGCCTTTCTCCCGGTTCTGGTGCAGTTAGGACGTGGAGCAGAAGCACGAAACACGATGAGCTGAGCAGAACTTTCTGCACTCGGCTAGTTCGATCACAAAGGCTTGCCCGATATTGTTGTGGTTTGCTGCTATATATCTGATCCATACGTTCTTCTTTTAACGTGGGTACTTTAAGTCAATCAGAATAGAGCTGGAAGGGACCTTGGAGGTCTTCTAGTCCAGCCCCCTGCTCCAGCAGGAGGCCCTAGCCTAGCCCATTTCAGACAAGTGGCTGCCCTGTCTTCTTAAAAACCTCTACCACTTCTGAAGGCAACCTGTCTTGCGGGTTATGTATATATCGTTGGTTTAAAATCTATGTAGAAAATCATCAACATTAAGATAAAGCCCTGATAAAGAGGTTTGTTCTCAGAGGAACGCAAGCATTATTAAATTACACCTTACAACCCTTTTAAACCACAAAATTTGGGGCAGTGTCAAGGTAAGTTTGCAGCTGTAGTGCCTACTATTGACAGAGAGGAGAAATGGCAGAAAAGCTTTGCAATTCTTTGATGGCCATTGTTGCAAAGGCCCAATTCGCCCAGACCGCAGAGGTAGGCAGCTTTGGCTCTTTTATGACTCATGGACTCCCAGAATTCCTGAGCCAGCATAGAATTCTGGGAGTTGAAGTCCATGAGTCATACAAGAGCCAAGGTTGCCTACCCCTGGCCCAGAGGGTTAAGAAAAACCAGGGTCTTTCCTAACATTCATGACAAAAAAGAAAGGCCTTTACGGTTGGACTCCCTTAGTCTTCCTGACGTTTGGTCGAGCCTGCAGAAGGTCCCAAAAGTAGACAAAGCCTTGAACCGTTTCTTAAGAAGTAAAGCAGAAACTTTCCCCCCCCCCCCAGGGGAGTTTATTTATTTATTTCCCAAGCACAAGCTGCAGGAGAAGAGGGAAATTTTCTCATTAAAGTTACATCCCTGCAGTTAGTTCAATTACTTGATATATGCAGAAGATGTTGTAAATTTAAAGATTTAAATAGCTTACAAAGATGCCAGAGGCTCCATCAGTTAATTTCCTTAATTTATGGATTTTTTTTTTAGCTCAGCTTCTGAAGTGGGAGGGAAAAGAAAAAGAGAAGACAAAGAGAAGTAGGTCATTGGATAGAGATATATCCGGGTCAGGATTCCCTGCTTGTTTTTACTGCATCCATCAGAACAACTTGAGATTTTGGGGCACTCTTTGCCATCCCAGACTGCAAGCAAGGGGAGCTTCCGGATACAGTTCTGGGGAAGGTCTGGATCTGCAGAAGATCCTATTTGTAAATGCCTCAGTGGGACAAAACTCCTTTAGTGGTGCGTGGTCCAGGAGATCAATCAGAATAGAGCTGGAAGGAACCTTGGAGGTCTTCTAATCCAACCCCCTGGTTAAGCAGGAGACCCTACTCCATTTCAGACAAGTGGCTGTCCGTTCTCCTCTTAAAAACCTCCATATAGGGACTCCTGCTTGAGCAGGGGGCTGGACTAGAAGACCTCCAAGGTCTCTAGTTTGCAGCTGAATATTGCAAAGTGAAACGCCTTCTCTGTAGTATGAACTTCCTGATGCCCTTCAGGAATTTGGCGCTAACAATTTAGCTCCATTAACTCAAACCTGAATGGCCAAATGGCAAGGTATTGGGCGAGTTGTAGTCCAGGTAATCTGGAAGTCATAATCCCTTTCCGTAATCCCATTTCTCTCACCAAGACAGTAGGAACGAAACAAGCCATCGGAACCTTCTGCCTAATTAGACTTTGAACTGAGTAGAGTAAAATAGGTTGGGTTTTTTAAAAATCATAGCTTGTTTTAAATGTTTACGAGATAGAAAAGGTGGTCTGTTTATCTGAATCAGCTGGATGCATATTGAAAGCAGCAAAAATGTTCAGACGTAATGCATGTTTTCTGTTTTACAGACCTCTATTATGCTGGGATTCTTTCTTCTTTCTGTTGTTTTCGGATCCTGCATGTCAGTACGATGAATATATACATATGAATTAATACTTAAAAGACATAATGCCAACTAAACAATATCATGGAAAAACATTGCAGTATGATTAAGTATTGGTGTTTTCAGTCTAACATTTCTTTTCCCACTAGATGAAGTTTCTAAGATTCTCAAGGTACATGTCAAGGACAGGTTTATAAATGGATTTTTATTTATTCACAACTTGAAGACTAATTGCTTCTTTTTGCCTGAAGGCCAGGAGATGGGTTTTAATATGACACTTCAAAAGTATTCATAGAGCCACTGAGATACTGAAGTGTCATTGTTTTAGGAAAGAAATCTCAGGATGGTACTTGTGACCCTGAAAATAACATCTTTCACCACTACTATAGGATTTTTCCCCGAGTTTCAGTTAAAAGCTCAACTATTTAAAACCATACAAAGGAAACTGCCGCTCTATAGTGTTGAAGCCAAGAAGGCCAAAAAATTAAAATATAGTTACTCAACTTCAGCATACAGCTCCTATGTCCTTAAAAACTTCATCCAGATTCATGATACAAAATTACTGTGGAAATAAAATATTACTGATGAGGATATTAGGGCAGAACAAAATTTACACAAGAGGGGCATACAGAAAAATGTATGTATATTTGTATGCAGAAGGCCAAGCTGTTTGCTGAAAACAATGTTTTTAAAATATACTGTATGCAATATATATTGCATAAGATGCAATGAGGAGCATGGATTTAAAATTAACATATTTAAGACAAGGTACTTGTGATTGACTGGGAAAATTGAAGGAATTGCAAGTTATATATAAATGGTGAAAAATCTAAGCAAGTACCGGTAGATGAATTTGTGTACCTCGGTAGAGCATATAGTAAATATGGGAGAAACGAATGAAGACGATTAATAAAAGTATAAATGCTGGTAGAAAGGTAATATATAATATGTAGTGGTTGTGAAGAATGAGCATTTGTTGAAATAAGCAAAATGTTTTGTCTAAGATTCCTTCTCTTTTATTATATGGAAATGAGAGCAGAATACAGCGGCAAGACGATTAAGAAAGGAAGATGGTAA